TTGATCAGCGGCGAAGATTTTATCCTTCTACCCTTTTACTCAGTCGTAGGCAATGGGTACTACAAGAATGCTGAGTGGGAGAAAAGACTAGTTCCCGCAGCAGGGCTCAAACCTGCACCTTCGCCTAGCAAGCTTATATGTTTGCCAATATACCATCAGAAGTCCGAATCAAAGATCGAACTGTAGGGTTGAACAGCATTTATCATAACAAATATGGGCCATATACATTTCCTGCTACCCAAGGAATGGAAGCCCACTGTGTAGGTTGCTGAAATGGTAATCCTTCCCTTCCGTCATCCCTTCCTTCCTGAATACATTTGCTCAATGGGATTATGATTTCGCAAAGTGAGCTTCCGTCAAAAAGATGAGGATTTGTGTCGGCAACTTGCAAATTTTCAACGATATGCAAAGACTTGGTAATCTTCTCCCATACAAATGAATACACATTTTCTCTTCCCTCCGCGAGAATATAGGAAGCACGACGATGGAGGAGTTCTTATTTGTAATATCTATCGTTGTTCTCCACGTTGCTTCACCTTACGTTCACATTGCGGTCATACGTTATCCCCAGCTGTTGAAGTGAGCAAGTGACAATAATTGGTGAAAATGGGTCTTATACGGCGTCTAACCCAGCTCCCTGATATGACCCAGCATCCGCAGCAAACAAGGCTCTAGCCCCTCTTAAGCAGTGATAGAAGGCTTTGCCTTTTTACGACCTGAAGCAGTGAAGGAGAACTTGCTGCTGCTCAGAACATTTGAACAACATTCTGCTTTGTTCTCCCATGCAGTCGATTTCTACTTCGATGAGATAGGCGAAGTGTGAGCGAAGAGTCTGTTACGTTAGGTTTCGTTTTTGTATTCTTCGCCAATTGTCGAGGTGGTCTAGCGACAACAATTGGTGGATAACGGGCCGGCGCCATGCCTAACCAAGCCTAATGACAGGCCCCAGCCTTTGCAGCGAACATGACTGTATGTGCGGGTGAGAGTAGTGGACGGCCGGCTAACAAGGCTTATGGGACTGACGCAGCTCCTTTGCCCTGCTATGGAGTTGCGTCGTTCCTGGAGCCTAGTTTCATTGAAGTGGCTGCAAATTATAACAAGTTTAAGAGTTTATTCCAAAAAACTCAAAAGACAGTGAAAGTCTCAAAAGTTTATTATAATATATCTTAACTTGCGAATATTTCGGTGCGTAGCACCTTCGTCAGGCCAGTTGTCCCGAAATGAACTTTCAGCTGCAAAACCAGTTGCCGTTTGATGTTCTCGTTAGGTACATTCACCAACTGCAGGAGAATTCTTTGAACT